GTGTGTGTGTGTGTGTGTGTGTGTGTGTGTGTGTGTGTGTGTGTGTGTGTGTGTGTGTGTGTGTGGGTGTGTTGTGTGTGTGTCCTTTTTTTTTTATTTGAAGGAAAAGGACACACTTCATCATTGGACTTTTCCTGCTCACATCCTCAAGAGTCGATCAACCAAAGGTGGGAATCTTCATCACAGAAGCTATGATCTATTTTGATAACTGAAAAAGGAACATAAGAAGTTTAAGAAAAAAGAGAGGAGGAAAAGACACAGAGCATTATTTTTGTGCACGTAATATAACAATTCTTATTTTTAAAAAAAAGCATTCTGGATATTTCTGGGTGATTCGAGGAAGAGTTGAATCACTATGTGTTTTTTTTTGTTGTAAAATATGCAAACTTTTATTTTTATTTCCTGATGTCTGTTGTTTGACGTTCTATTTGAAGCAGCGGGGGCGACACTTTGTACAGATTTAGAAACGTACAAAACACTTTTGCTGGTCTGATGTGTCGAGTTGTAACCGTGGGGATGCGAACCGTTTAAAGCTACTTCTTCCTGTAACTGCTGCAGAGATTTCCATTCACACACAGACGATAAATACAATGTTTATAGTTTTATTCAAATTATCATTTACATTCTTCCATAAGTGAACAAAAGACAATCAATTATTTATATTTATATTTTAATTAAAGTTCTATTTTTCAGAGTTTTTAAAATCATTGAAACATACATTTAAAGAAAATACATTATTTAATACTACTGTAATCTATAAAGATGTGATGCAACTGAGTTCATCGCATTTATGATGAACTCTAGTATTTGGCCAGTACATTTGTGTTTTAGTAGTTTTGATGCTTAGATGGTTTTTAATTTAGTCCTGTTTGCACCATCACAATGACAGCTGTTAGTCTCCCTGTTTGAATGTAACTCCATGTTACATGCGTGTCCATGAGAAGTGGTTTTTAAGCGGTTTTGCTGTGGCAAACCTTCAGGTATCATTAAATTCCATCCTCTGTTATGGAGGGAAGTGAAAATGCTTAAATCTGAGCAGGTTAGATTACTGAAAGATGATGTGTACAAAGAACAATGCAGTTAATAAATAAAGATAAAGATATGATAAAGCAATGAGGGAAATCAAAATAGAGGACTAACACGATCCCTGAGAGTAATTAGTTTGAAAGGAAAGAGAGCTCTAAGTCTTTTTTTTCAATGCTGCTGTTGTCACCTGAGTTTGATTCTCTGTCAGTGATTCTTTTAGTTTGTAGAAAATTAAATGTTTCTGTTTTTCTTTTGTCTGTCACTTGAAAACCTTTTGAGCTAATTTGGCCTTATTTTTATGAATTTATCTTTGACGTAGTTTAGATTTTAGCTGTAGATTTGTAGCTTTTACAGAGTAGATTCGTCTCTCTGCGTAGGGATTGATGTTGTTTCTTGTGCACATTAAGTTTTCGCTTGTTCTTGTTTTCACACAAATGTCCGTTCCTCACCTTGAGTCGTCTGTCCTCATATTGTGTCTGGTCTGTTTATTAAAAAGGCTTCCAGAGTGGAGAGTTTATACCAAACCATGACTTCAGTTAGTGCTGATCCAAATGCTGTGTTGCGGCTCAAGGAGGAGCTCATTTCAACACAGTGCATCCAAATATGTTTAATTTATGCAGACATCTAAAACTGTAGATATGTAGATAATAGAACTAATGGTTTTACAAGGACTGCTCACTAGACCATGGAAGTGCCATTAATTACAGAGCCTTTAGTGAGACAGCAAGTCTGAATGAGTGATCCAAAATTCTGCAAAAACAATTTTTAGCTAAGCCTTAATGTTTCCTCTGAACAAATTGCCTAATCTCTCGTAGGATGGACACTAAGTTGTATATACTGCAGACATGGCAACAGGCTTGTTTGAAATGCCGTGTTGTGAAGTCGGTTGTCACGGCGGTCGTGTTAACTGAAGGGTTTCAGAGGAGCTTGTCGTCCTGCTCTTCCACAATCCATAAATGCTGTGTGCAAACGTCTTTCTCCACATCGCAGTTTGATGAATCTGTTTCTAACTTTTTTAATTTTTTCAACTTTTTGCTGTGTATTGTTGATTTCCGCAACCAAAGATGTTGTTGCCACCCATCTTGTAGCTCTCTGTCGAGGTAAACTGCTCCCTTTCGTAGACAAAGATGTCTGCTTCCGACAGATTCACACAGAGAAAGATCACAATAACAGTGGGTGACGTTCACACATATTCCACATTATGTCCACAGTTTGAGGTTGTGTGAGGACTTGGTTTGCCACGACTGTGTGTTTTAAAATAACATAAATGATCTGGTTTTGTTGACGTGTAAACTAAGCAGAGTTTCCCGTTAGTATACGCCATGGAGCATTGGTGTGCCTGTAAACAGACTCATTACACACTTTATGGGCCTCTGCAGACACCCAGCAGGAAGCCAGGGCTTTTACGATTGTGTTTTCAGAACACGAGAGCTAATATTGTAAATAGTCCTTTTGCCCCTTTCACTTCCTCTGCACACATTTTGTTTGTTTTTCCTTGTGTGATTTTTTTAATGATTTAATAACCCTGTCCAGATAACACAGTGACTAGCAAGCTTTTTCAGATTCAGTGCTCATGAAGGAAAATGTCATGGATATTGTTTATATGTTCGAGAAATAATACTCCATATATTAGCCATCACTTTACAAAAAGAGGATTTTGAAACTATGAAATGACCACCTGTTACAAAGCAGTGTTTATTTTAATATCTTTTTTTAAACTTCAGCAAATGATAATATAACAGGAAGTTTCCAAAAATAATTTAGATCATACAAAATGATGCTTCCATGAGTTACATTAAAATGTTGGGATACTTCAACGACACACGATTATAGCTAAATCTCCTTGCACTTAATACTTTAAGTCCACAACAATTTGAAAATGTTGTTTTCGTCCATCCTAATGTAGATTTGATGGCTTATTTCATAGCTTCAAAATGTTTTGCTGCTAAAACAGGATTTCCAAACAGGTCGTTAGATGTTGCCCAGTCTGGATTTTCAAAATGTCACTTTTTAATTTCAGTAAGCCTTTTTTGTTTCATTTTAAACTTGATGAATCTAAATTAAATTATTTTGTTTTTCAAATAGCTTTTTTTTTTCATTATTAAAACATATAATCGTTGTCTTACGGTTACATTTTTTAAGATAATAATAACAACAATGTGTCGCTCCACACTGTATGAAACCAAATTAGTTTGAATCCCAGACATTTGAAAATCCAACGGGTTTTATTTTCCACTTGCTTGTGAACAGTTTTCTTATTTATACAAGAACTCATTTTGTACAGTTTTGTTAAGAAAGAGGTTTTGATATTTGGTTATTTTGCAAAGCCACTTGGCTACTGTTGTCTTCCTGTGCCAGAGTTGCTAAATTGTCTGTAACTTGTGTGTTTTTTTATTGATTGAGATAAGATTTTCCTTCTTCTTGGTTTTCTCTTTGAATTTGAATATGTCATTTTTTTCTTTTTTTTAATAAAAGCCTTGTTTCAATGATTGGCTGAACTGTGTTTTTGATTATAGTTCTAATCGTAACTGGTAATAGTCACTAGCCTCTGCTGTTGTTGCTTTTGTTCTATCAATGTGGTGGCCTGTGTCATCACAACACATCTGTATCTGTTTCTGCTGCTCAAAAGGTCAAAGTTGATGACCCACTTGTTGCAGGTTGTGGAGGATTGTAGTCCAAAAGTTTAATCTTGACTGGGAAGTTTCTCACATTTAAAATCCTGGAAAAAACCCTGCAAATGGGTTTAAAGGACAAGACAGTCAAAAACAGTGCTAGAAGATGCTAAGTCAATATAATATCCAATACGGGTGTGAGGGTTGTATCAACAAAGTACTTCTAAAAAGACAATGTTTAATGTTTTAAAATAATTGAAATGTAGTCATTTGTAAAAAAGTAACCATCAATCAAAATGGATACTTTAACAATGTGTTGTGCTAGATTGATATAAATGTAAAAAATGAAGGAAATAGTATTGACATTTATTTTCTAAAACCAAATCTACAACCTTACTAACCATATCCCAGCATGCAATAGTGGTCACCAGTCCATTACAGGGCTAACACACAGGCACACAACTAACGTGGCTTCTTATTGAAAATTCTTAGATAGTAAAACATAATAATCCACATTGTAAACTCTCTTACACATATAAGACAAACATCTTTTCATGTGTCACTTTTATTAGAATAATGTCAGAATCACAGACAGACATAACTCAGTCTTCTTACAAAAATAGTTTTAACATGCCATGTGTTTTTTATACAGTTAGATAATCCAAATGCTCCGATCTTCAAATTGTTTACATTAAATTATATTCTACCTCACCCCAAAGGCCACATTTAAGTTACAATACACATTGCAACTGATCTCTAATAGCTAGAGTTTGTTGTTAATGTATGTGTGATGCTACAAACACACCGTTTTTAAATCCAGTAAGATTTGCTCAAACAGTATTTGCCCCAAAAATGAAAATCCATGCTCAACATAAGCTGAAAATACATTACAGTAGTACCTTTCATCTATGGAAATGTGCATTAAAAGTAAGTATAAAACATATTGTAACTTGTAATCTAAAGGTGCAGTTTTTTAATCTCTGTTTTTCACTTATTGATGGATGAACATCCAAACTGATCTTACTTGACTCTACGGTGCTGTCCTCATATGAGCCTAATGACTGCTTTAAAGGTCCCCTATTATACCGTTTTTTTATTACTTTATTATAGTTCTCAGATATATACAAAACATTTCTCTGAAGTGTTTGGCTCCAAATACCAGATCCCATAATCCTCTCTGTTTCAGCCCTGTTTCAAAAGTGCTGATCTCTCTGTCACCTTAGATGAAAATAAGGAGCCCCTCCCCTCTGAAGAGATTTGGTTAAAAAAAACACAGGTGTGCTTTAGGAGGAGATGCAGGTGATAAGGTGGGGGGGGGGTTACCTTGGTGGTGGTGATTGGCTAATGGTTACACAAGCCAAAACAACGTTATGACATCATAAAGTGGCCAACATCTGATCAGCTCATTTTCAGACAGGTTTTTATATAAATGGATACAGGAGAAAACGTGAGAGAAATCTTTTTTCCTGAAACTTTCAGAATGTCTTTACACAGAGGGGACACAATTGTATGTATACAAGACATGAAAAAGTGGATTTTGCACAATAGCTGACCTTTAACATTCACTGTGGGTGTGGGGTCTCAGTAGAGCAATAACAAATGCAGATCAGAGTACAGTGAAGTACCAGGCCGTCGGGGCATAGCCACAAAACCAGCAGCAGGATTGTGTCCTCATTAAACCATAAAGCCCTGATGTCATTTTCTTGAGGAGAGTTATAAATGGCTGAATTGGTTGTTGAGCTGGTGGAAAGATTACATTATGTAAGGGAGGAGAACTGCTTCACCTGCGGCCTCCTCCAAAGATCTGTAGCAGGAAGCTGAACATGTAGATGATGTCCAGGTAGAGGCTGAGGGTGGCGAAAACATATTCCTCTGGACTTATAGAGTAGCGCTTGTTCCCCAGCAGCAACTGTGTGTCAAATGCCAGGAACTGTGAGAGAAAAGAGATGGAGAAGAAGGATAGTGAATATATTGTTTTAAAAGAAAAAAGTTTTCATGATCTGCTTCTCACCAAAGTAAAGAGGATGGCTCCACCAACAGCATACAAGGCATGTAACCAGGGAAACCTGTTGGAGCAAGGTAAAAAAAAGCTTTACAAAGCGATGTTAAGAAGGACAGCAGGATGCTAATCTGTTTATCTGTGAGGCTAAGCCTTTCTTGTAAAAGCACAAACAAATACAGCCAGCAGGATTTACCTGTGACTGGGGTTAGTCATCAGTAATCACAGCTATTTTAGACTTTTTTTTTGGAAGGTGCGCTGGAACTTACATATCCAAAAGGTATGACAATGGAAAGGGTGATGGAACAGAGAAGCATGACTATGCACAGAGAAAACAGGACGCCATGGTAGGAGGTGACGTCAATCTAGAAGAAAGAAAAACGTGATGGATTCATTTTTCTTGTTGGTTATTTAAAATCACCTTATGGTTTGAGCAGTTCTTTCTCACCTTGGTCTGGAAGCTGAACATGGTGACGGAGAGACACACCAGAGATGTGATTCCCATACACAGAACCACTGATTTAGTGTTGTAAAAGCTGCAGGAAGAGAAGGAGTCTTTTATTATAGAAATGCTCTGATAAATTGAAATCAACTTCTACACACAGCTAAATCACAATATGTATTTACCTCGACATAAATCCCATCATGCTGGCCATGCTCAAAGTCTGAAGGTAAAAACAAAACGTATCACAACAATTAAGGGTTATGTTGAGCATGGGAGTAATATTAAATGATGTTTTCATGATGAAGAATACTCACAAAGAGAACTAGCAAAATGATATTCCAAGGAAACTGCCTCCTGTGTTAGTGAAAAAGAGAATTCACTTTGTCAATGTTAAGTCACTAAATGCACACACAGTAGCACCTTCAAATATAATTGTGTTGACACTTAAATGCAAAGAAAGGTTACCTCAGGTCTCCACAGCAGGACAGTGCAATGTAGGTGGCAAAAAACACGAGACTGTCAACAAAAAAAAATGGTATATGGTGGTGTTACAAAACAGTAAATAAGTCATCAAAATGGCGACTATAATTTCAGCGATGATGTGTTTTCACTTACTAGGACGCCATGTACAAGCCTGGATGAGTCTGGATGAAATACCTCACAGGTGCGCTGTAGACACACGATTTCAATGGCTTTCATTTATGTTTTTATAAAATTGTTTAAAAACAAATACATTTCCTAAAAGTATTTACCAAAATGAGAATAGACTGACAATGGCCACCGTCACAAACAGCTGAACCATGAGGATGGCGTAGACCTTGAGGAAGAAATGCAACGTGTCAAAGCAAAGGAATAGTCGTCATGATAAATGTTATTCTGCTTTCACTTCTTTTATAAATCAATACCTTCCTGATGAAGGTCCTCCTGATGGTCTTGTCGTCCCAGGTGAACTGGGCCTCCATCTCATTGTAGCCTGAAGAAACGGGCAAGGAGGAAATGTGAGAAATGATGTTTGTAAAAACTGAGGTTGTATCACACATGGTGTTTTAAAATGATACTGCAGCATTATTCAAACAAATGGAGTTATCATGGGGAGGGAGGTTTGACTTCTACTAACTTCATTTTTAAGCACTTAGATGAGTTAGAAGTGTAATATTGTTATATTAAAAAAATAGAGATTCCAAATAAAACACAAAAAAGTAGTACAAGATAAATACTTTCACTCAAACCAGCATTTACTGTGTGTACTCAGTCTAGGTAGAGCTTGAAGACATCATGTTCCTTTATAATCGTGTTTGTTGATTTGTAAATAATGGAATAGTCCATTATTCCACAGTCCATAGAGAGCTTTTACCTGCAGTCACCTCCTGATAACTGGGCGGCTCAACGTCCTCCTCACCCACCTGCTGGGATAGAATTACAGTTTGTCATAATAATTGTAAGTCTGTTGCATAAAAAGCACAGCTGTGTTTAAAGTACATAACATTCTATTAACAGTTTTTGGAAAATATATTGGCTCTCAACCACAAACTGGCACAATCCTAATGTTGCTTTCACGTTCTTAAACTGTATGAAGGTCTATCACATAATAGATTTTACTTTTAAAGGTGTCTGCCAAAAACTTTTCCATCACAGGTTTGTCAACAAAACAGCCACCATGTTTGGGTGAAAGGATTAGGATGGATGAGATGGGCCTCCATCTTTTAGTAACCAGCATAGACACATATATGTGTACTCTATTTCAGTCACTAATTGGTGTATTTAAGTTTATTTCCATTCCTTACACACTTCATGAATATATGATATTATATTTTGTTTTGTTTTGTTTACTGTAAATGTGTATTTCAACATGTATATGTTTTACTTTTGAATGCTATGTTATTTCTATTTGAGATGTTTACATTTGGATTGATTATTTCTAGTCTTTTCGTTTCTCTAATGTGCGATGCCTCGTCTTTCCATGCTGCTGCAACGCAAACATTTCCCACATTGGGATCAATGAAGTAAACATTATCTTATCTTATCATCTTACCTTATTTGGCAGCTTTAATAAATTATACAGATTTGCATTAAAATATGATTATGTTTTTACATTAATCTTTACGCAATGCTTTACGAAGCTGTATTAAAACTATAAATCTGGAGAGTAATACAAAACATACCTTTCCCTTCTTCATTATGTTTTCCTTTTTTGCACCAGATGTTCAGACTTCACAGGTAATATATTGTTCTTTCTTTAATCCAAAATATGAAAATACAGCTCCTCTTGTCGTGTGTTGTGTGGTTTGTGTGGTCCTGAACACGGCGAGACTGTTGTGTGGAATAGCTCTGATTTATCTCCAGCGTGCGGATTACACTGGAGCTTTATGTGGCTGCATGTGGTTAATCTCTCTCTAACCCTGATCCCACTCCACCCCTATCTTCGGCCTGATGACATCGCTCTAGAAACGTCCAGGTAGTCCCAAAACACTGAGAGGAAACCAGACCATACCATCGCAGTTGCCAAAGAGGGGTGTTGTTTACGTTTCTCAGTGCTGTCACAAACCTTGTCAGCAGTGTTTCTGGACAGTTGATCATCATGCCTCAGACTCAGAGGATTTACACATCTGAATCACACATGCATTACACAACATGTTCCTCCACTGAAGAGGGAAACAATAAGACCACAGACATAGGGCATATTTCATAATCAGCATATGCAAATTCATACTGTCGGATAATAATATATAATAATATGTTATAGATTTTTTTGAAGAGTGGAATTAGTATGCTCAATTGATAATTGAATATTCAAAAATAAGAATTGTTGGTGAATTTATACATGAAATATAAAGATAATGAGTGAATAAACCAAGCTAATTCGGACACTATTGTCTTTTTAAAACTGTAAATAGTATCAGATTCAGTTTGGTATTTGATCCAATGAATGAAAGATCCCCAGATGACTTCAACTATGTTCCCCTGATCGCTCCCAATATATGTAATCCTCTCCATCTCCAGAGTAGTGACAAGATGCTCCAGCCATAGTGTACATTAGGAATATCTTCACTAAACCGAGTTTAAGCTGTCTGTTTTTTTTGTGTTTTTTTTAACTAATTCATTTTAAGCAAAAGTGATATTGTTAAGTGACTGCATGATATAATGTCTTTGCGTAAGACACTGGTTTTGTAACAGCCACCTCATGAGATTGGAGTTAAGAACATTGGAGCAAACACATAACCTCATAAATCACTCATCTTTGACCTGCTTTAAAAAGTATTGTTTCATCACTTTATGCTTTGCAAAGAAGACAATTAGAAACAACACCAGCGTGGATCTGAAGAAATGTGATACTTCAAAATTATTTTTATTTCTGTGAGGAATATAATTAAAGAACACAGATTAGAAAAATCACAGATCACATTTAATGATTCCCCTTCCATCAACAGCCAGTTGTTAATTTGATTTACTCGATAAAGTTACAGTAATATATGATATTTAGCAAGATGTATTTTCTTTATTCTAGAGCAAAAGATTCTTCAAAACACAAACATAAATCCACTGTTTCTATCCACTTCATCATGTATTCAAGCAGACAATTTAAAGGTGGGGTAGGTACATTTCAGAAACTGGCTCGAGATACACTTTTTGTTATATTCCATGGAATGCTCTTAACATCCCGATAGCAATGAATATCTTAAGTGCTTTGACAAAAAATCCATTAAAAAATGTCATCTGTGGAAGCCGTAATACTGTAAAAAGTACAACCAATCCGTTTAGCTGAGCCGGCTAAACGGATTGGATTGCCGCCCTGTCTGTCAGCCTTCCATCTCGTGCACGCACAAATGTATCTCGTGCCCTCATTGGGCGTGCCGTCATTGGGCGTGCATTGCAGCAGTACTTCAATGGTTGCGTTCCAATAGTCCATTTAGCTTAGGAACCTTCCTAACCGAGTGAAATGACCCGGAAGTACGTCAGTGGCAGCCATGATAAGTGCCGTTCCAATTCTCCAAATGAAAGGAAAGGAGGGCTGCAGTCGAATAGTCTATTTAGCTTAGGAACCTTCCTAACGGAGTGAAATTACCCGGAAGTCCCTCAGTGGCAGCCATGATAAGTGCCGTTAGAATTCTCTAGAATGATAGGAAAGGAGGTTTCAAACTTCCTTTATAACCTCCTTTAGCTTAGGAACCACTGGACCTCCCTAACCGAAAGGAGAGGAGAAAATGCTGCCCCACAATGCCTTGCAGCCGCAGCATTTGACGTCACACAACAGTCAGCCGTTCACGGAAACAATCGATTATGACGGAGAAATGATATCATGAAAGTTACGGTGCTTATTAAGCTTTTTAAAACGTATGTGGTAAGTTGCCAAAGTGCTTTGTTTTGCAGTAGGGCCTGGCTCATTCCGTGGCATCTGCAGGCAGTGGCAAGTCCTTCCGGCATATGCCACAGAGGCCACTACTCTGTGGTAGCTGTGGCAAGTACTTCCGGCATATGCCACAGAGGCCGCTACTCTGTGGTAGCTGTGGCAAGTACTTCCGGCATATGCCACAGAGGCCGCTACTCTGTGGTAGCTGTGGCAAGTACTTCCGGCATATGCCACAGATGCCACAACTTGCCGAGGCATCTGCCGCTGCTCAACGGGAGTTGCCACAAGATGCCAGAGTAAGAGAACGTTTACGGTAGCTGCCACTCGCCTTCCGTGGCAAATGCTGCTATTTAAACCCGTATTTATCGTGTAAAATGTCGCTGTTTTGGCATGACTTTATCGAACTGATCTGTACACAGGACTGATGATCTGTGCACAGGGTTGGGTTGTAACTGAATACATGTAACGGCGTTACGTAATCAGAATACAAAAACCAAGTAGCCTAACTGTATTCAACTCGCGTTATATTTGAAAAACAACTCATCCGAATACAGTTACTTTCGTAAACCTGAAGTGAATACATTTTGGAATACTTATTGGAATTATTGGTGGAAAAGTTTCCTCACAAAATGTATCCTAATATTCATTACCGGCAGAACTGTGTGCACAGCGCAGCAGCATGTCTGTGAGGCCCCGCCCCCGCACGCAGATGAGAGAGAGATCTCTTTTTAAATATATTGAAAGTTAGAAACGGAGATGGTTCGATAAAACGTGCAAGATAACGTTTATGTAGCATTTCTTTATTGTTGAAATGATGACATTTCATAACTGGATCAAATCAAAGTGAATGGCCTGCTGCTGCTGAAGGCACAGGGCAAATATATCTGTCCTTTGCCTAATTTATAAAGTAAACCTTAGCATCTCACTAGCAGTGGCAACTGCAATCAGTTACAGCTGCCCCAAGTCTGTAGCCAAGTCTAATAACACCAGTGTACACGTTGCTGTGTCAATACAGATATGTATTTGTTAATTATTTGTCTTTACTAGTCATACAACTGCTTTATCGTAGCAAGCAGTGGGAACTCCCCTCAAGAAGCGAAAATTGCCAAGGGCGTTGCAACCCTCACTCGCCAATATTTCATCATAAATATAGCACGTTTGTTTATTTTAGCAAACCATGCTCCAAGTAAAATTGAATAGAAATTATAATGTTTAAAAAAATAGAGATCGGACCATCAGTCCTGTGTACAGATCATCAGTCCTGTGTACACAGGGCCGCCCCTGGCCAACTTGGGGCCCCAAGCGACATTGTGAGATGAGGCCCCCCCCCAACCGACAGGAGTGAAACACATTTTTTTGGAAACAAAGTAGGCTACTTATATAAATATAATTCCTGTTTATTATTAGTATCAACACAGTTACTTTTGTATATGAGGTAAATGGTAAATGTGCATGTATGTCGTTCAGTATGGGTTTACAGGTACGTCTGCATTTCCTGCCAAATACTAGCCTCAAAAAGATTAAAATATAATGAATGCAAATAAACTAATTCTACTAATAATAATAATCATAATCATAATCAATTCAATAATATAAATACTATATTATTTTATTATAATTTAGTTGTAATATAGTCAAGACAAAACATGCTTATGACATGCTCAAAAACTGATATTTCTTAAATCTGTATTCTAGTTCTCTCTGTCAGCAATGTATCAACAACTACACACACATTTCTATCAGTATTTCTCTGTGTTGTGGTTGACATGAAGATGACTGCAGGAGTTAAGGGGAGAGGCTGAGCGTCACCATGACGATGAATGTTAGGAGTTAAGGGGAGAGGCTGAGCATCACCATGAAATGTGCAAATTGACATAAAAATGAATAAAGGGGGAAAAATGTTCCATGTTTTTTAGGCTGTAAACTTTAATTGTTATTTAAGGCAACTAGACAGACAGTGTATCACTCTTCCTCCTGTACATTAGCAGATCAAAGGCATCACATACTTGAATGAATGGTAAGTAAAGAATGCTGGAAATAACTGCATCTCCATTAGCCTGTATGCTCTGCAGAGACTGCCTTCTTCATGTCGTGAATTGCAGCTGATGTTTTAATATGGCAATTGGCAATTTGACTTATACAACATTCACAAGTTGTACATTTGACTCGTACAATAACCCACCTTCGAGTGATGCTCTAGTTTCTTCATGTTTTGTTTTTATCCCCTCTTCCTTGTGCCGGACTGAAACTGTCTTTTCACCGACATCTCTTCACCTGCACTAGTGGCCTTATCAAAGCCGTGATTGGTCAGATGTCAATTCATCGCAACGGTGTCGGGTTACAGACGTGCTCCCCTTCTCACCTCTCACTCTCTCTCGCTGTGCGCGGAGAACTGAGCGGAGAACTGCGCACAGCAGCTGAGGCCCTCTGGGCGGGGCCCCCTGCGCAAGGCGGGGCCCCATGCAGCCTGCGTGATTGGCCTGTAGGGAGGGGCGGCCCTGTGTGTACAGATCAGTTCGATAAAGTCATGCCAAAACAGCGACATTTTACACGATAAATACGGGTTTAAATAGCAGCATTTGCCACGGAAGGCGAGTGGCAGCTACCGTAAACCTTCTCTTACTCTGGCATCTTGTGGCAACTCCCGTTGAGCAGCGGCAGATGCCTCGGCAAGTTGTGGCATCTGTGGCATATGCCGGAAGGACTTGCCACTGCCTGCAGATGCCACGAAATGCGCTTGCTGTCTCTCTTGTTTTGAACGTTCATCAGTATTATAATCAAAAAGAGAAATATGAACGTTAGTTTTTACTGAAATGATCAAATAAAGTC